CAGCAGTATGCGAGTGATGATTGTGTTTGAACTCAATGCGATGGACGTCGACGTGTCCCTCAACGTTAAGTATGCGCACCTCATGGAGGGGTACTCTATGGTGAAAGTGGCAGACAGTGTGGCCGTTAACCATAACGCGGTAGTGTTGGTGTTCGACGACAATCATTACGTCAAAACTGGATCCATGATAGAAGTGGTGGAAGTCTTTGTGCTTCTCCTTATGACCCCAATGGCCATTGTGTCGGGAATTGACGATAACTTTGCGTTTATGAAGTTTGGATCTGATCTGAAGAGCGATGTTTGAGTGATGCTCGGCGTGATGTCCGAACTCATGGCCTCCGAAGAGGTTTAACTCAAATTTGCTGCAGTGATGGGGAATGTGTCCCGTTATCTGAATAACACTTCCCGGGTGTAAACCACCCTCAGGTATGTGACCCCAGTATGGCAGCGATGGACTCGTTATAATATGCATTACTGTATACTTTTGTCAACTTTTTGCTTTAAATAACTTTAAATAACAATTAAATTATTACTTATTAATGAACAAAAGACTCTTTGTTGAAGAGTGAATAACGCCTTCAAATGTTTTATGTCGTGTCACCACTACTTGTGCTGTAATTTATATATTTTCCATAACTTTAAATAACAATTAAATTATTACTTATTAATGAACAAAAGACTCTTTGTTGAAGAGTGAATAACGCCTTCAAATGTTTTATGTCGTGTCACCACTACTTGTGCTGTAATTTATATATTTTCCTAAACCGTATGCAATTTGATTGCAAGCAATTCAGTTAATATCATATCTAATCAAATGTCAGCACTTGTATGTAATACACGTCTATTTACTCTCAAATGACTAATAAAAAACTGATAAGAATAGGAAATAAATTCTTCTTGAATTAAAAATAGTATTTTAAAAATATATTTCATAAGTAAATGGAAAAGCGAAAACCATTTGTACGCAAATAATTTACCATGGTGTTTTACAAAATGAATGCTTGCCGATATATCAAACTATATTCTAGGTGTATTTAGTATAAAATACATAATATATTGTGTAACTTATTGTGCAAACATATTACGTATAGCTCTATTAGACAATAATTATCTCTATTATTTTGTTGGCAAACAGTTATAAAATTATTTCTTTTAAATAATAACTTTCATTGACTGAATTTTCAAAATGAGATTAAATCTCTAGTAAAAGTGTTATAATCTTATTGTATTAAAAGTATATCTAAAATACATTAAATACTAATGGATAGAGAAATGATTGGATGAATGGCTTAAAAGCAATTTGGATGTAATCCTCATAACAATGACAGGCCATGAATGGGTTCCGAAGCTAACAAATATTTAATTAATTCATATTAATTATGCAAATTTTTATCAAATCTAAAACCTAATGATATATAAAAACATAAATTATTTCCTAATGAAAAGCAAAGAAGAGCCAGAATTTATTAATTAATATTTATATTTATAGAATTCACAGAATATAATGTCATTGTATTGATTGTTTGGCTAAATATTTGTATACATTTTGTCACAAAATAATTCATTTCTTTTCCCCAAAAGTACAAACATTTAATAATTGATTAGAAATTTTACTCATAAATTACAAACTAATACGAAATGTTAGTTTAATTACAAACTAATGATTCATTTGATGTGATTAATGGCATTTCTTATATCATTTTGGTTTTGCACAAAAAATGTGTTCATAAATAAAATCAGTGATTGACTCAAAAGTGTGATACTTTTGTGCGTCAATTGTATTAAACAAACACCAAATTCAAGGCATTTATCGCACATTTTTGCAACATTTGGTTATAAATAATACTCTCTGTATATTATATTAGATTTGATTATATTTGTCGTAATAATAGTGATTGCGTTAAACAATCAGTAATCGGATTACTATGTCATCAGAAAAGGTAAGTTTGAAAACGTTATAAGAAAACAATGGATAAGTAAATGACTGATTGAAATGTATTGAATAGAAAGCAGAGACTGACTATTATTGTCATGAAATGAGTTTCTTTAATAACGAGAAGGAATGCGATATCACTTTCAAAGTGGATTCGCAGACAATATTTGCCAATAAATGGTTGCTTCGGATGAAAAGCGATGTTTTCGACGCTATGTTTTCGTCAAAGTTTAAGGAATCAAATGATGAGATAATTGAAATTTTGGACATGAAATACGAGGCGTTTAAAGCAACCATTCGTTACATGTATTGCAATAAACTGGTGTTGAGTGACGGCAGCGATCATACGCTGGCGATGGATGTCTATCGTTGTGGACATAAATATAATTTGATTTCATTAATGCATTGCTCGGAGAAAATGTTAATCAAAATGATTACATTCGACACCATTGAAGACATGTATCTATTGGCCAGAGATTATAATCTACAGAAATTGAGGCAATGTTTGGATGATTTTCTCAAAACAAATCTCGATTACTATTCGCGCAAAAATGCGGACGAATTGAAGCGAATCAGTGTTTTAAGTGATTGTCATTTAATGAGTCTATTGATCGTCGAAAAGGACAACGAAATCAATAGATTAGAGAAACTGGTGTCAGAATTGGCTAAACATTGCGATCAATGCCGGAATCGGATTACATTCAGTCCATTGAATAAAATTTAAGTTAATCTCAAACTACAACAAGAATTACTATCCATTTCTCTTCACTCCTTTGCTCTTTCCATGTATTTATCTATATTTCATAACTCACTGTACAGTGGATTAGATGTAATGGATATTATTGTAATACTTGCCATAAATATAGAAATAAATATTTAATATTTGTTTTAT